AGCGGACAGCGGTATCCACTCTCCTCTTGCAGCTCAAAAGCGGACAAACAATTCCAGCCGATTCTGCGAAGGGAGAGGTAAGCGGCCCCCAGAGGGCCATTCTCGGCAGCCCATTTGGAGGGAGGGGTCTTAAGGATGGGTTCAGCGAGGGTCCTAATCCAGCTCTCCACGTGGGGTCTCCTAGCACCGCCAGACTCAAAGATCTGCTGTTTGTCGCACAACGGGGCCCCGCCACTTTGAGGTACTAAGCCTGGAGGTTCTGGAGTTCTTGGGGGTCCACGCCAACCACCTCCGTGCCATAGGTGATGGCCTGCTGGAGCCCCGTCTTCCACATTTTCCGCGTGTCCCCTCCCGCTATCTTGATTGATGGCCCTGATACGGTGACGTCTGTTTCGATGCCTGGCAAACCTTCTGTACAGGGTGGCCTTGGCAACTCGTCTTTGGATCCTCAGTCGTGAGGCCCCCGAGGCGCTGCCTATCCCCAGATTAGTGGCTGCATGGGCGTCTGTCGGGCCTGCATATTTCCCAAGGGCCTTTCGGATTAGTCCACGTAGTCTGGCGGTAGATGCTATACCCTGGGCCTCATGCAAAGCAAGCTTGCACTCGAGCTCGTCCTGCACAAGTACGGCAAGCCTAGCAGCGGAGTGTTACAACTGTTGGACAAGGGCCTGCGAGTCTCGGTGCTGTTGTCCCGGGAAAAGATCACCAATATACATCTGGAGGTCCGTGCCCTTGGGACTTTGTTGTGCCCAGGCGCCCAGGGGGTCCAAACTGTAAACTTGAACCAAAAACGTGGCCCATCCGCAACCAGGTGCAATACCTCGGGTTGGGTGGTCCACAAGCTGGACCGTTTCGCGAGTGGCCACTAGTCTGGTGCTGCTGCACTGGCCTAAAATTACCTTCAACCAGACGCTGCTAAAACCTGTGTCGTGGGCCCTCTCAATCAGCTTCTGGTGATTCGTGTGCTCATAGTAGTTGCTGAGGTCCCACAACACGGCTCCTGAGTTGAGTGGGTCTTGGCAGGCCACTCCATGCGAGGAGGAGGAGGAGGAGGAGGAGGAGGAGGAGGAGGAGGAGGAGGAGGACGGGGAGGAGGAGGAGGAGGAGGAGGAGGAGGAGGCGGAGGAGGATGGGCCAGATCTGGGCACGCCGCATCCGCCGCCGCACGCCGCGGCCTCCGCCGGGCCCGTTTCCGCCGCGGCCCGCGCAGGCTCCACCGCACGCCGCGCCCGCGCCCGAGGGGCCGCCGCGGGAGGCGCGCCGGGGGCCCGCCAGGGGCCCCGCGGGCGCGGAGGCGGACGAGGCCGGGAGGAGGAAAAGATACCCCCAGGAGCCTATTTTTTTAGATTCTGGCAAGTTTACTTGCATGGACGGGGGGGGGAGGCCGAGCCTGAAGCAAGCCGCAAACGACTTGCACGTTCGGGGGGGCGCGGAAATCACGCAAGTCGAAAGGCACTTGCACGCTAGTATTCGCTTGAAGAGGAGCGAGGGGGGGGGGGGGGGGGGCGAACGCCATGCAAGTGAACTTGCCTGAATCCAAAAAAAACAAGCTCCAGTCATGATCGCGTCGGGAAAAGATCCGGACGGGAGGTTTGGGGCTGTTTTCGGCCCCGGGGGGGCCCTCGCCGGGCCTCGGGACCGTCAAGAGAAACGATCTTCAGGACGAAAGACGGGCCCCAGGGCCAGGGTCGGGGCTTCCAGGGACGCCGTGCTGAGAAAGTCAGGACGTCGCATGTCTGGGTGCCTGGCGCTCCCTTTCGCCCGTTTCCCCATGTGTTTGGGGCCTCTCTGGGAGGCCCGCGTCGCCACGGGTGGCTTCGCCTCGAGGTGCTTCTCGGACCGCACCCAGGGAGAGATCCGGGGAGCAGCGGGATATCAAGGTGTCTTTTTTCGTCGACGAAGCAAACGAAAAGTAAACCTACAAGCATAATAAGCGTCATAGCTATAGTCACGCTACGTCGAAGAATAATAAGAATCATAAGCATAATCATGGTAATAATACTAATAACAAAAGCAATACGAATAATCATAACAATAATAATGCATATATCAAAGCATGAAAAATAGGCAGCGGCATAACAAAGACATAAACTGTTGGAGCTCGGCGCGGATTTTTTGATCGTCGTTGGGGCCCGCCCGAGCGCGCAATGTGCGCCAGGGAGGGGGGTCCAGCGCCGATCCAAGCAATCCGCGCGGGCCTCAAACAAATTATGCTTGTGTGTTTTTGGGCGGCGGCGAGCAAGGGGGGGGGGGACATATGAAGAAGAAGTCCTTCTCAAAAGGCGGCGGGGCGTCTGAGAAGCCCTCGCGCCTTCTGAGAAGGTCTCCGTTTCTTCGGGGAAGGCTTCGAACACTTCTCAGAAGGCCGGAGGACTTCCGAGCCTTCTGAGAAGGCCTTCTCTTTCTCATTTCCCCTCTCGTTCGCCGCCAATTTCCAGGAGCGGGAAAAACACGCAGACATAATTCATCGTCGATCCCCAGGAAAATCTTGGCAAATATGGGAAGGGGGGGGGAAGACGAACATCCAGAACATATGAGAACATATTTGGAATAGTCGTATTTGTGTGTATTTATTTGTGTGTGTCCCTAAGCCCCTTCAAGTTTTGGCTGTTCTTCTAAAATGGGCGGCGAAAGAAAGCGGGGTCGTCTTCGCCGACGTTGTTGCGCAAACTGCCGGCGTAGAACTTCGCGCGTGGAGCGCCCTCTCTTCATTGACGGGGTGGCGTGCCGCGCCTCTGGCCCGCGCAAAAGCCACGGCGCGGAGAGTAGCTGTGCCTGAGTCGGGCCTGTCCCTCTGCAGGAGGACTACTCAAGCATATTCCTTGATTCAAAAAATTGGGTTTGAATTCTTTACGCTTCGCGTATCCCCACCAGCCCATCTCACAACAGCAACTCTTGCGAAGCATGCCGACAGTCGTGTTTTTCAGGCTTGTGTCCGCGTGGCCCCGCATGTCTCCCCTGTTCCTCCTTCCTCCCGCCTCCTTGTACATCCTCCTTGTGGTGGGAGCGGGAGAAGGACGAGGCGGAGGAGGAGGGAGAGAAAGCGCTCCTCGTGGTTTGAGTCGTTTGGGGTTTCTCGTCCTGGTGTGAGTCGTTCGGGCCCTTCTTCCTGGTGTGAATCGTTCGGGCTCTTCGTGATGTGAGTCGTTCGGGCTCTTCGTCCTGGTGTGAGTCGTTCGGGCTTCTCGTGGTGTGAGTTGTTCGGGCCCCTCGTCGTCGTGTGAGTCGTTCGGGCCCCTCCTCCTGGTGTGACTCGTTCGGGCTCCTCGTGGTGTGAGTCGTTCGGGGCCCTCGTCGTGGTGTGAGTCGTTTTGGGAGCCCTTGGAGGCCTTTTGGGGCGTCTTCGGGGCCTCTTGGCGGCCCCAGGGGCTTCTAGGGCGTCTTGGGTGCCTTGGGGGAGCCTCTTCGGGCCTCTTGGGAGCCTCTTGGAGGCCGTTTGGGGCGTCTTGGGGGCCTCTTGGCGGCTCCAGGGGCTTCCAGGAGCGTCTTGGGTGCCTCGGGGGAGCCTCTTGGGGCCTCTTGGGCGCCTCTTGGGGGCATCTTGGGGGGCTCTTGGAGGCCTCTTGGGGCCTCGTGGGGCTCTCTGGGAGGGGTCTGGGAGGAATCTTGGGGCCATCTGTCGGGCGATCGATCACAGATGAGGGGAGCATTTTTCTGCCTCCCCCCGTCGGGGCCAGAATCCTCGTGAGGGGTGTCGAATTTTAGCCCTCCCAGGAGTCGAAAAAGACCCCTCCAACGACCCGCGGGGCGCCCTCCCCAGGCAAAGGGGGAGGGGGTAGGGGGAGGGGTAAACCCCTCCCCGAAGGGGAAGAAGGGGGGTTGAGAACAGAGCGGGCTCTCTAAACCACTCACGCCCAAAGGGCTGGTGGGATTCAAGAAACTGGTCTTTGAATTCAAAATGCTGTTTTTTTTTGAATTCAAAAGCCAGTTTTTGAATTCACAGAAATTGTCTGGGGACTATGTTTTGACTATGTTAAAGCATTTGTTTGGGGTATTGCTCGGCTAATATTCATTTGTCGTCCAAAATCCGCCTGTAGAGGGGGACACGCCCGATTTAAAGCTGTGCCATCTCGCGCGAGACCCGTTTGCTTTAGTCGCTTAACTGGGGTCCGAGCCGAGTGTGTCGGAGGATCTCGCCCCATCGGCGATGCATGGGCGATCTGGCGCGATGCTGAGTATCGTTTAACCGATCCCTATCCCCACCCCCATCCACATCTCGAGTCCCACCGTCTCACCACCTCAGTTGGGGATATGCCCCTCGAAACCCAAAGGGAGCAGCCACTATCCCCATCCAGGGGGGGCGAATCGGCCAGTGGGGCCCAGCCCACGCTGGTGGGGAGGGGGGTCGGTCAAACGATGCTCAGATGTGGAGTCCGATCTGCTCACGCCGCCGACGCATCGCCGATTTTGCCGATGCATCGCCAGTGCGGCGCGACCCTTCGACCCGATCGACCCCACTGGGGAGGCCTCTAGCGTCGCAGAAGGCGACGTCTGTGCACCACCACCTCCCACTTAGGATGCAACGTCTAGGAAACGAATTCAGGATCGGCTGATGGTACATCTGCGGTCGAACACGGGCCGCATCGTATCAGGTGTAGTCCCGCTCAGCCTGGCTCAATCGTGGTTGATCCAGCTTGATCCCGGGCGCAATCCTGCCGACTCCTGAATCGGGTTTAGCAGCCCTGAATTGTTCTTGCGAAGGCCTCCCACGAGTTGCTTCCTGCACCCGTGCTGCTGGAAACTGGGCGTCGCCGGTTATGCTGGCCCGGGTTTGCGGTCCGCCGGGTCCTTGGCAGGGTGATGGAGTTTGGGTTCCGCTCGTGAGGCCTCGCGACGCAGGCATTGCTGTCGCGAAGGAGGATCTCATTGTGCCTTGCCGGGAGCAGCACTGGGCCCCATGATGGCGTGGGGCAGGTTCCGTAGCCGTTTTGGCTGGAGCTTTTGACTCAAGGTTGTTTGGGCCCAGGCTGCAGACACTGCGCAGCTCGCGGATACTTCCCATGTATGAGAGGGCACATGCGTTCGGCCACCCAAGCTTTGTGAGCTGCGTGGCGATCAACGAGTGCTTCGTTGTCACTGGGGCCGCGGACTCCTACGTGAGGGTATGGGCTCTAGCGACTGGGGCCCTCAAGGCGACGCTGGGACCCCACCAAGACCACGTTACGGGCGTTGCGATCACTGCGAGTCGCCTCGTCAGCTGCTCCCGTGATCATGCGGCTCGGGTGTGGTCCTTGGACCAGGATGCATTCCCACTGCGGACGGTGCTGGAGGGGCACACAGGCTACATCATCAACGTCTGCATGAACAACCACTATGTCGTCACGGCATCCTCTGACTGCACTGCGCGTGTCTGGGCTGGGTCTGACGGATCGCTCAAAGCAACGTTGAAGGAACTCAGAGGAGGAAACGGTACCCATACCGCTATGTTTGCCTCGCTTTCCCCTCTTAGGGCCTCCTGGGAAGCCCTCGTCGCCACCGTTGGATTCGCCTCGAAATCCTAGTCAGAACGCACCCATGGAGACGTCCGGGGAGTAGTGGTATCGGTACCTTTCAGTTTGCCCAGGAACATAAGAAGCCCGTCGCGTGCGCCTGCCTGAGCGGCAGTGACATTGTGACGGGATCCGTCGACTGTACGGTCAGGGTTTGGTCGAATCCGCACCCTCCTCACGATGGCATGGGTCGGTGGTCTTGGCGTTCCAGGCTGACCTTAGAGCACCCCAAGACTGTGCTGGGGGTGAGTGCGAGCGGCGATCTCTTGGCAACTGGCTCGGACGACTACAAGGTCAGAGTCTGGTCCTTGCTGGATGGATCCTTTAGATGGTCCCTGTCTAGCAGAGGTGTGTATCGCACCAAGGACTTGAGCGCAATGACGTTCCAGGGAGACACCATAATTGCCAAGGGAGCAAAAGGCGCGGTCTGCATTTGGGTGTTGCAGGATGGTAAAGCTGGCCGCCGTGAGGCGAGTCGCATGAAACCAGACCCTGATCACACGTTTTACGTTCCGAAGGTTCCCGGTCAAGCAGTAGAGCTCGAGAGCATCAATCAGAAATGTTTGGCCTCGCACCGGCATTACCTTGTTACTGGGGCTGGCAGGACTGCCGTGGTGTGGGTCACGGAGCCCGGCCAACGCCGGGCCGCATCTGAGAATCTTGGTGTCTCGCTTAGATTTTTGCTGGAGGAGTTCGGGCCTGCTGCCAGCAGCGCCACAGGCCTAGCAGACCCAACGTTCCGGGAGGTAATGGACGCTTTCTGGACCGGGCCCCGAGCAAAGTGCTGCTGGGACTGCGATCGGCAAGAGTGCCCTCGAGACGGCAAGCCTGGCTGCAGCATCGCCGATGCACTTGTGCAGACGGGTGCTGCCGGCAAGGCCACGCATTTTTTGAGTTGGACTTGGAGCTACAGGGTCTCCACCATGACCACAGCTCTGCGAAGATGGGCGTCCAAGACTTGCGCCGATCCCGACCAGACTTTTATTTGGATTTGCTTTTTCGTGAACAACCAGTATCGCATTTTGTTGGAGAAGTCTGTTGTGGGATCGGACGACCTGGGCAATGTCTTTTCTGCGAGACTGCTGCGTTGCGGCCGCGCCCTCGTTCTGCTGGACAGCTTTAGAGAGCCCCTGTACGTACGACGTGTTTGGTGTGTTTACGAGATCTTCCAGGCCACCTGTCAACGCATACCAGTGGAGGTCATTCTGCCCGACCGCGCCTTCGATGATCTCAAGGATCACCTGAGGCATGGACGCCTCGACGAGATCACCAGGAGCCTGACAGACATCAGCGTCGAGGACGCGTCGGCCTGGTCCCAGGAGGACGAGACGAACATCAAGCGGCAGATACGCGAGACCACAGGCTACGGCAGGGTGAACGACGCCGTGCAGGGCTTCCTGTCCTCGTGGATGGTGGACTCCTTCCGGGCGATCCTGGAGCAGGCCGCAGAAGACGACCCGCCGCCCAGCCTGATGGGCCTGTTTTCCACCACCACCACCATAAGTTGGAGAGGGAGGGGGTCCTCCTCCTCCACCTCCTCCATCTCCTCCTCCTCCTCCTCCTCCTCCTTCTCCTCCTTCTCCCCTCCAACTTATGGTGGTGGTGGTGGAAAACATGCCCATCACAGCCCGCAGGGCGGAGGAGGGCACGCGGCCCTGGAGGCCGGCGGGTGGCAGGCCATCCGGGACCTGCAGCTGCAGCTCTGCGACTGCCGGCAGCGCCTCGCGGCGCAGGACGAGGAGCTCCGCCGCAGGGCCGAGCTGCTCGCGGAGAGGGACCTGGAGGTCCAGAGGTCTGCACCAACGAAGTGGGCACGGAAAGGATGGGTACACTGCGCAACAGCGGATCTGGTTCATTTTGGACAGGACTCGGTGTCGGTTGCGCCGCGGCCTGTGTCCATTCGGGACAGAAGGCCGCCTGCCCAACAGCGGCCGCTGTTGGTTTGGGACAACCTTTGCTGTTGGGCATTGTACCCATTCTTTCCGTACCCATTTCAGGCGTCCAGCAGAGGCTCTACCTAGATGGGGTCGGAGCAGATGGGGTCGGAGGATCGCGCCGCATCGCCGATGCATCGCCGATGCGGCTCGATGTGGTGCTCGATTTGCTCCACGTCGACACGTCGCCGGTGCATCGCCGATGCCTCGCCGACACATCGGCGATGCCCTGGCGATGCGGCGCCACCCTCCGGCCCCATCTGCGCGGACCCCCCCCTCTGGGAGGCCTCCCCTGACCTTCCAGGAGGGCTAAAAAATAGCACCCGACGTAAAAACCTATCCCAGAGCTATGTTACGTCTTGGTTTTAGGCTGTTTCGTCTCGTTTTTTAGGTCTTTAGGCTTCCAGTGCTAAAAAATAGCTCTCTGGAAGGTCAGGGTCTGTAAGGTCCAGAGGCTCCAGGCTGCGCTGGCCAGGTACGCCCCCGCCGGCTCGGGCGCGGTGGCGGTGCGCTCCCGGGCGTCGGCCTCCGACGCCCCGGCGGCCTCCGACGGCGGCGGGCGCTCGGCCTCCTCGTCGCGGGCGGCCTCGTCGCGGGGGGCCTCGTCGCGGGGGGCCTCGCCGCCGGGCGCGGGCAGCGGCTCGGGCTCCGAGGGCGGGTAGGACGCCGCGGGCCGGCGGGTGCCGAAGGACGGGCGGGCGGATGCCGCGGACCCGAGGCGCGCCCAGGTTTATGTCGGGCCTGTCCCCCCTGCAGGGGGGACTTTCGACGAACAAAATTTTAAAAAATACACGAGAACAAATCAAAAAAGATGAGCCCAAACATAGTCAGGGGACTATTTGTTGGGGGTATTGTTGTTACCCTTTTGGGGTATTTTTGGTGTTTTTTTCTATCCCGACTTAATCCCAGGTTTCCGACTAGGGGGACACGCCCGACTTAATCCCAGTAGGGGGACTAATTCCCTGACTTTTTCCCCTGTCACCGACTTAATACCGACTTAATCCCCCGACTTTTTCTTCTGTCCCCCTGTAGGGGGACACGCCCGACTTAAAATCCCAGGTTTCCGAAGGACGGGGGGGTGCAGGGCCCCAGCAGCGGGGGCCCTGCCAGGACGCAGCCCCGCCGCCTACATCGTGACGTCGCGGGCAGCGGAGGTGTGCAGGGATCTTTCTCCGCTCGGCACCACGGCCACGAGCACCGGCTATACGTGGGAGCCTGGCTTCTGCGAGAGATGCGGAGGCCCAACCTGTTCCCGGGCGCTGTCCGAGAATAAGTCAAATTCATGGCGCACGGCAAGTTCGTGCCGTGTTTGA